ATTGTCCCAAAATGTTTTGATGAATGCACCTGACACCACACCAAGCAAGTATCGTGCCAAGCTATTCATAGTCGTGTTATTTGTACTTCCAAAAGAGACAAGGTTGGATTTCAATAACAGAGGGTCAGAGAAACTTTGACTGCATCTTCAGCAAACTGTAAGAAGATGTAAGTTCCTTTACTTAAAGGTTCTATGTGTAACTTTTTACATGTATTCATTTTTTTTATATTGCCAACGGTCGAAAGGATTGTAACTTAAAAAATGAGACCTTCCCCGACTTTCTCGGTTGCCTATAACAGCCTGTGGACTGAGTCCACACATGCTGTTTCTTCCGTGTACATTTTGCAGCGGCGGCCCCTATAGATGCTTTGTGGCGTTGGCTAATGGAGTGATTTGCAAACGGCAAAACTAGCGTTATTCTAAACATGATTGTAATTTATTTGCCATCATTCTATCAACATAATGAGGTTGCGCATAGTGAACCTAAAGAAAATTATCACATGAATCTGCAGCTCTTCATGGCTTCATGGAGCTTTAAAATGAGTTTCAGGTCATTGTTAAGCTGTCTGGCAGACAACTTTACCGTTTTTGCTTCACTCCCACTGCTCTTATGATGTTGCTTTCCACCTTCTCAGCAGGACATACATCAGACAGACATAGTTAGCGACTCGCTGGTGAACATAGTGGAGCATTTAGCAGCTAAAGAGACAGATATTTCTCTCAGTAGTTGGTTGAGACCAAAAAACAGAGCTAAACGATAAATATTGTACTGTAAGTGATGAGTAAATAAGCAACTTTGTTTGCTGACAAGTTCACCACATCAACTTAAAAAGTGACGTTAGGTCAGTGTGGTGTTCTCAACTTGTTTCCGCTGCCCCCAAGTGGCCAAAAAATCAGTGATTGTAGATTTAAATAAAAGTAGAAATGCTACAGTATACAAATACTCCATCAAAAGTCAAAGTCATTTAATTACAAGCTTTCAGTTTTAAAATGAAAAGCTCTGTTTACAGTACGAGACAGAATGAACCCTGTCAGTGTTATAACGTTATACATTATTTTGTATGATTATTTCCAAGGATGCATTCATGTTTAAAAAGCATTTTAATGTAGCAGGTTAAGATGAACCATTCAAGTACTTTTTATATCGCTAGTTTAACTAGCCTCAGAAGCATAAAGTAGCATGAAATTAAAACATTCAACAACAGTGAAAGTACCTCAAATGTTTTCCTTTCAAGTACAGTACTTGAGTAAACTTAGTTATATCCCACCACTGATCTTCAGTTAGCTTGTCATTTGTTGAAGTCCCTTTAAGGAGTCATGAATAAATTGTAAATTACATGTATCGTATTCTTGCCTTGGCTTAATGGTCCAGACCACATATCAGCAGAATCCGTGTCTCAGCCAGCCTCCGTCTTTGCAGCCAAGCAAAGCTTAAGTTAAGTTAAGTTATCCACTGTCCAAATCTTCATGTTCAAGCCCAACCCATATTTTAAGTCAGTAAAACAAATCCCAGACGCACAAATAAATACCTTGCTCACACGTTTCCTTTTCTCTGTTCTCTGTATTTAGTTAGACAAAGTACTTTCTTTTCCTTTTCTCTTTCTCCATCTCTTTTCTCTCTACTGTTTACGTTTCCCTCTGTTTCGGATATTTCTTTTTTTTCAGCTTGAGCAACATGTTGTTAATCTCTCCCCGTCGCCGTGCGCTATGTAATTTATAGTGTTTCCTCTTAACACCGTGAGCTGACCCCAGTCATCCCAGTCAATAAAGAGGCAGTGAAGGTGCCCTGTCGCTTTACAGCCAGTTAAATTACACTTTGATGTTTCCCCCTCGCGTTCAACTGGGAATTAATAGCTGTCCACGCTGAATGTCTGACCCACAAGAACACCATTTTGGCACTGATGTCCACATAAGAAGTGCTCTACAATATTAAAAATATATATTTATTAAATCAGTCCTTATAGTTCGATCTTTACATCAGTGCCACGCTACGTTGTAAAACTAAACTGTGCTGTGTGTGTGAGTTACATGTGAAAATGTAGACTTGAATACAAACTCCTGTGTTGTTCTGTCGTCAGGTGGAAATATTCACGAGCTAAAGACGGTACAATCAGAAGTGCAGGTGTAATGTGTTTTTGGGGGTTTTTTTGAGGAGGAAAAAGCCAATTGTACTACTCATGAACATTGAGATGGAGGTTGTGATGCTCCGTATGTTTTTCATAGTCCCTCCTTCCTGCCTCCTGCCACAGAGATTATATCCTGTCAGGCAGTGTTTGCAGTAAGACTTTCCTATGTTCTTCCTACATATGGTGTTCCCCGCAGGAGGGCCAACTGCTGTTCACCTTGTGCGCTGTTGGAGAGCCTCACAGCTTCAGCAGATCGTATGGATAACAAGCAGGAGATTGTCACAATATCCCGCGCTAGCCAAAAAAACATCAGTGACATGCGAAACAAACAATGGCCTTTGATCAGCCAGAGGCCTCATGAGTTCAAACAGCCTGACAGCTCTTGACCTGTGGGGACTGTGGGTGCCAGCCAAGGAAATATGAAGAAATAACTAGAGAGTATTGATGCTGGGATAAAACACACATTTGGTCCCTTCAAGCCTATGTGTTTCTCATGGACAGCGAGGCAATGTCGCGCTAGACACCCAGCGAGCAGAAACAGGGCCACCAAAACATGGCTAGTAAGCGCAACTCCGTTTGCAGCACTGCAGGGCAAACATCTCAGGAACCACAGCCTCCGTTCTCATTGAATCTTGCATTGCTGAAACGCATCACAGTTCTTCCATCCTAAATTACAGAATGCAGACTGTCAAGCAAGACGAGAAAATTAAATCAGTATGACAACTTTATTTGACAATGGGCAAACTCAGCAAGTTTTCAGTCCCAGTGAAAAAAACGTAGACCCCGGCTATCAAACCTTAATACTACCGACCCAAATGTGTTTGTAGCATTGCATACAATACTGCCAAATACTGAAAGCTGGAAACAATTGTTTTATTTACTTCTGTATTTATCATTGCCTTCTTATATGTACTATGTGTATGTGTATATTCTTTTACAAAATATTATATTGTGAGCACAAAACAAATCTGCAAAACGAAAAATGGAGCTAACTTACCCAATAAAAATGAAATAGCTGTGAACACTCCATAAAGGAAAGACGGTCAAAGGTGACGTAGTGACGGTTAAATTAAATGAAATCAAAGCTCCCCAAAAATAAAGACACAAAGAAATATACACTTAAAAATAATAGCAAAATGCTTGGTAAAATGTATCACCCTATTCATCTGTTACATGGACACCACCGTCGCTGTAGTTTTAATCCATATCTAATGGGGAAATCTGACAACCTTTTGACTCTTTCAAACATCTTTGTCTCTGAATCTTATCCTACGAAGACAACAAAAAGATGCACTTGAGATATAAACTTTTGTGCGCGGTGTCTGTCAGAGAGAATCCATGACAAGATATCCATTCACCTCACCTTGCAGCACATTTCCTAACATGGCTATGAGTTGCACTGGGTGCGTGTGTGAGATCTCCTGTGCTGACAGGCTGCTGAGAATTGCACTCGGAGCTCACATGAACGCACACACCTCCAGGTTCTAACCTGACAAGTTGTTTGATGGGCAGAGACGTCCTCGATCCTGAAAATAACTTCACCTCAGATGGTATTGAAGGAGCAGGGAGGTGCAGAGCTGTGAGTCGCCACTAGACTGAGCCAAAGAGAGGGGGGGTTAACAGGCCTTTCTATGAAGCCTGAAACAAAACACTTTCAGCTTTTACATCCTCCTCTTTGTGCATTAATCCAAAGGTATGTGTATGTACAGGATAGTTCAGTGAAGGGCAGCAGCAGGGCAAAAAGAGCTGCCAGCTTACACAGCAACACAGGCAGAGACACGGCAATGGAAATGTATGATCATAGAGCTGTCTGAGGTTTTACAGTTAAGCTGTAGTCGTGAAGAAAGCAACTGTGTGTGCGTGTGTGACAGAGAGAGAAAGAAAGACGGTACAAAGATGGGTCTTTTCTCATTTTTGCGTTGCTCCCCAGGAAATTAATTGCAACAGTCTTGCTGCCAGGTGACTTTGCAGCCACATGATAGATCTCAACCAACTGCAGGGCTGAGCGAGAGAGAGAGAGAGAGTGGTGTGTGTGTTAGTGCGTGTGTGGGGTGTTTCATGTGTTTGTGTCTAGGAGTTGAGGGTGCCGGTGGTTGAGGAGGATATGCAATCAGTCTCAAATTATGGGCCAGGCTGTCTGTTGCACATCACAGAATGATCTATGAACTGGATCCCAAAAGCAGCCAGTGATCCAGGCCATCCATTGCACAGGCAGATACAGACAAACAGATTGACACACATACACAGCACCACGCGTCAGATTTCACAACTGTCACAGAATTTCCTCACAAAGAGCGAGAAATTCCTTTGTTCCACCCCATCAGACCCCATGACTTATTATGTTGATCCTACAAATAAATCATAAATATACTGCCAGAGGCAAGCGACTGAATATTAGAGTTGAGAAGAGGCTCATTACAAATTGTTTAAACCTGTTTGTTTTCTCAACACAAATTAGCAATGTTTGTCCCAGGTAAGAAAATAGATCTAATGCATGACAAAAATCATTGTAGAAAGGTGAAAAAGATCACAAACCCTCCTCCTCCATTTCCCAGAGGGAAAAGAGAAAAAGAAGGAGTTGAGGATCTTTGAAGTCTCAATATTAACAGCTTTCCCTGCGTAATTTATTATCTTATTCATCTGAATCATCTGAAGAATCCGCACACATCATTTAAATCAGTTGACTCTGCGCTGCAGCCTAAATCTTGAATAATAGCAATGGAACATTACACATTACATGCACATCTTTATGTTCACGTTCATCTTTAGAGGGTAACACATTCACAAAGCTCTGACTCCATCTTTTCAATCAAGCTCAACTTATATAAACATGAACCTCTTCTGAAGGTTTTCGTCTCCTTCCTGTCTCTGCAGGTAAAGACAGTTCAGGTCTGCCAGACTCTGACTTGGCACCGGACTCCGACCCACCTGGAATGGACACCAGTTACCTGGCTGTGAAGGATCAGGGCGTGAAGGCGGCCTCTGATAGGCCACCGGGCAGAGACTTGTCAAGCCCTCTGGACAAGGGCGATGGCGGCGAAAGCAACAAGGGCAAGAAAAGGCGCAACCGCACAACCTTTACAAGCTACCAACTGGAAGAGCTGGAGAAGGTTTTCCAGAAGACGCACTACCCTGACGTTTACGCCAGGGAGCAGCTGGCGCTGAGGACTGACCTGACTGAAGCCCGTGTGCAGGTAATGCAGGACACTCAACAACAGTGTTTTAGTTCATCTCATATGCAGCTAAACAGGAACAAAAATAAAAAACAGCAACAAACCTATCCGATTTCTAAACAGAATTAAAAAAGGTAATCATGGCAACCTGTCCTATCAATGAGTAATAAAGAGCTCTTGGTCACAGCAGCACGGAGGATGTTTTAACAACACAACCTCATGGATCCTTCAACATCTGCAGAGATAACGTCACTCACACAACATGAGAGATTTATCTGGTAATGTGGGAGTCAAGGGGAGAGAGAGAGTGGGGGAGTGGGAGCTAACAGAGGCCAGGGGGCCCATAGGGCTGAGGTTGGAGCTGCCTGGGCCTCATATGTGCAGTTTGAGGAGAGCAGACTTTCGTCAACATACGAGCAGACTTGTTTGAATCTGCTGCGTGTCGATGGGATTGTCTCAGTGGCCTTTTGCTTTGTGCCCGTGCTGTTTTGATATCCTGAATCTGTGAGTTCAGTTCTGCAGGTATTAGTTGAGCCTGATGCCTATACAGGTTTACATACGATCCGGTCATGACTGCTATAATGCACTCCAACATTGGTGAACAGAGAAAGAGACCGCCACCATTTCTGTTCATGCGTGTGGCGCATGTTGTGTGTTTACATGTGTGTGTGTAAGTGTGCACCACAGACTGCCAAAGCCCCTGGATTTTCTGTGTTTTTCTTTCATTAACATCCTGCTCAGACAAGAATGTGTCCCTGCTGTGGTGTGCAGGGTAGGTGTGAAACCCTTCCCATGAGCTTTGAGCATTTTGTCGACTGATATTTCAAGTCTTATCTGAATTTTGAGCAATTTTTAAGCACATGACATATATCTATTGAAAGCAATCTTTTGACAAGCTGGAACAGTGACCAGAAAACCTCCGCAGTGAAACACAGGAAGTCTGTGCAGCCGCAGGGTTATAACTCAACCCAAGGCTCTGAAGGTATGCCGCTCAGCTCTGCTGCTCATACTATCACAGAATGGATGCAGCTTTACAGCCCTCGGCTCTCCCAGCGGCCCTTTCAAACACTCAAGTCAAAAAAGATTAAAGACACGAGATGCCTAGTCAGTCAGAAAAGAGAGCTCTGTACTCTATTCAAGTCTTTTACACGCAAAAGAGTCTGGAGTGAAGGAAATGTTAAGAGAAAACCATTTACTGCTGCTCAAAGTCTACTTTAACTTAAAATATTTATAGGCATTTTTGTTGAAATGCAAAAAAAAAATGCCAAAAGTATGTGAATATAATTCTGAGGAGGATCGATACTACACCCCATTGTCTGATGGTTCTCACGCCAAACAACAAGGGACGCTCAGTTGGAAAACTTTAGGGTCTGGAGTTGTTTGCTTTTTAGTCTCAGTTTTCAAAGGGAGGAACTGCGTTCAGATCGGAGTCATATGCACTACAGATACATGGGAAGGTCAGGGGTCAAGGGTCGGGGTTTCAACAACATCACATTTCTCCGATTTGCCATTCTGTTAGCCGAGAGAGCTCACAGAGCCGAGATGACATCTGACATGTGGAGTTCACCGGGCAAACACATATGAGTTTATGGATCCAAACGGTTAATGGAAGCTGAAACGGCAGGAAAACCTGATTTAACCAATTAGGAAGGAGATGATGGTTCCCTCTGGTCAGTCCAATTTGCAGACATGCAAAAGGAGTCAATCATTTTTGGTGTCACTTTAGAAATACTTAAAAAAAAAAAAATGAAACTAAGGAGAATGAAGAATCATGACAAAGACCTTTTTAAAAAAAGAAATAAACTGAAAATATGCTTTAATATATTCTAAATCAGGCTCAGATTTAGTCAGATTCAGGGATTAAAATAGTCGATTATCGATCAATCAACAGCATGAAAATCGGCTTCTGATAATAAATCATTTATGTCATTTCTCAAGCAAAAATGTCTCATTTCAGCTTCTTAACTGTGAGGATTTTCTGTTTTGATTTGTGATACGAAACAGATCATTCTTCGGTTTTGAACTAAGCAATATGAAAACAATAATACTTTTTAAAAAATCTTTTTTTGAAACTAAATATTGGTTCAAACATTAGCAAAGCCACTCAAATTCCAATTGCATACATCTATCAGTCCACTGTCATTCTGCACTTTACCTTTACTTGACCAGGGAAGTGAGAACTGATGTGGTTGAGGATTCTGGGCAAAATAGAACTAACTTACATTTAATGAGCAACAACACTGGTCAGAGGTGTTGCCGTGATATTATTAGTGCTTTGGGGGTGTTGGAAAACCGAAGCCAGGCTCAGCCTTGGATTTCATTCTACTTTGGTATGGAAGCTGACATGAGTGACAGCAGAGGCGGGTTATCAATCCTCTGAGCCGTTCTCTCACTTCAAAGTGTTTTCAGGCCCATACAGCTCTCCTGCTGGGGCCAGTTTGGCATTTCTCTGCTCTTTCTCTCTTGGGCTGTAACATAAATAAAGACTCATTGAAAGTCCACCACCGCTACTTAAGCTGTCATGGTCTTTACCAATTACTGTCACAACGCAGTGTGTGCAACACAAAAATATGTTCTCCCTGTATAATAGCCAACAGAGTCAAAGCAGACAGTTAGCAGATGAGAGCTTTGGTGATATACCTTACATGCATATTTGATGTATAAAAATCATAGAGCAACATTTATTTAGATAGAAGGACAGTGATCTTGTGTGGGGTTGTGGATCCTGAGTGAGTGCAGAGGAAGATGTATGAAATCAGCAAGGAGAGAAGGATTACGTCCTCTAATCTGTGTGCTTCTTTAATTTACAAGGAGACATCATCTCAAAGCCAGGAGCTTTCAGCCTCAGGAAATTAAATAGGAAAATGCAAACAAACCCCAGTAATAATCTCATCTCACTTTTCAATCTCCCACATTGCCTCCTTAGAGTTATGCGCAAAGAGTGGATGCATGAAATAAGAGAAATCAGCAAAAACCTTATCGAGGACAAGTCAGGCAGGAGAAGTTTTTTCTGCCATAATCAGTCCAGTCAGATAGTCAAGACTTGTTTAACATACGCTTACATTTTGACAGTTGGAGAAAAGCATGTCAGGTTCAAAGCCCAGCAGAGAGCATTTAGATCACTTCCACACACTCTGATGGTAATTCAAACACAATAATGCTTTCAATAAACAACAGTGTCATATTTAGATGTCAGAGATGATTATGGGAAACATACCGTAAGTCATGAGAAAAAGCTCTTGTCAGAAAACAAATAAGCAAAGGTGAGAGGGAGGAGATCTGTTTACATTTTGTTTTGAGGACCTCAGTGAAGTGAAGGTTGCGGCACACTGTTTACAAAGGCTATTTCCCCCTTTTACATTCTCCAGTGTCTTTTCTCCCTCAACTCTGCAGACACATCTATATTACTTCCATTGCCTCTGAATTGTATTTGTACTTGTGCACTGTAAGTTCACACTTATGTTTGATGTACTGCAGATATCATGTGGGATACTTATCTACTTTGGATGATCTGAAAGGGTAACTTAGATTTGTATCTACAGAAAAGAATTCCCTTCCTGTTAAAGTCATTACACTCCTTTTTTCCTTTTTTGAACTCTAAACATCACCTTGTCCAAAGACTTGATACTTTATGAGATGAAAGTAAAGATCCAATGTTCTCTCAGACAAAGAAACCCGAACAATCCTGCCAGTTTTATGACATTCAGACATTTTCTTTCTGCAGGTGTGGTTTCAGAACCGAAGGGCCAAATGGAGGAAAAGGGAGCGTTTTGGTCAGATGCAGCAGGTCCGAACTCATTTCTCAACAGCTTACGAGCTTCCTCTTCTGACGCGTCCTGAGAACTACGCACAGGTACAGAATGAGTACTTCAATACAGGTTTGACATATCTTAGCCCATTTACTCCAAATCACAGAAAATGTTCTCAACCCAAAGGAGATTTAGAACGTTTACTTTGATTCCTGCCTTCCAACCTCAAAGTCATTACTGCTTGAAGACTGGAAACTTGCTTCATTACATCAGCTAATTAATAGCCCTAATTTTCTTTGTCAAAGACAGATCAATGATACTTTTAATAGTTTGAAATTCTGGAAAATGTACTTATTCACTTTCTTGCTGAGAGTTAGGTGAGAAGATTGATACCATTGTTATGTGTGCACCCTAAATATGAAGCAAGAGCCAGCAGGGAGTTAGCTTAGCTTAGCATAAAGACTGGAAACAGCTAGCCTGGCTCTGTCCAAAAGTTTAAAGAATCTTCCTATGATTACCCGTAAAGCTCACAAATGAACAAGTTATACCTCGTGCAAAAGCCAAAGTGTAAAAAAATAAATCGATGTTCTCTCTAAAGTTACGTAATGGAACTATTTTTGAGCCAGGCACAGCAGCTCTCTGGAGTCATTCAATGCCCAGCAAGCCAGCGAATACCCGTATATACCCAAACTATTCTACAACATTTCCTCTGTTCTTCTATTGTTTGCTATTCCTGTTGGATTCTCCACCAACTTTGCCAATATATGCATCGCTTTTCAGCAGCTTAGTGTTTTTGAATGCACCAATAAGGGAGGTTTTTAAAACCGTTTCTGCTCACAAACCGCATCATCGTGAAACAATAACTATTAGCAACGAGGACAAAAGCATAAAGGCAAGTAAATGCTTACTGGCCTGGATTGCCTATCTAAAGCAAGAATATCATTATTTTCAAATGGAAATTGGTGGCCTGAGAGGCATGAAATCAATCTAAAAACCTTTGTAATTGCCTGCAGTAATCTTTGTAGTTAACATGCTAAACAGCAACTGCATTGTGTCACAGTTGATGCCACAGTTCTGTCACTCTTTTAAAATGTTGATTTCCAACAATATTTCAGATTCAGAACCCCTCTTGGATCGGTGGCAGCAGCGCAGCATCTCCTGTGCCGGGCTGCGTTGTGCCCTGCGACACTGTGACCCCCTGCATGACACCTCACCCCCACTCTGCCAGCGGGATGTCTGATTTTCTGGGCATGTCGAGCCCCGGAGGTCACATGGGACAGGCTCACATGGGCAGCCTGTTTGGAGGGCCTCCTGGCATGGTTACAGGCATCAACACGTACGATCTGAACATGGACCCTGACCGCAAGTCCTCCAGTATCGCCGCTTTGCGCATGAAGGCCAAAGAGCACAGTGCCGCCATATCTTGGGCCACATGATGTGTTGATGTCGGCTGGATGGGGGACCTTGTTGACCCCTGAAATGTCTACACGAACCCAGCATGGTGAGAGGGGGCACTATAATCGAAATCTAAAGGCAACAGTGACTACCTACATAAATGTTGCAATTAAATAATTATCCAAATACACGGACGGGTGAAGATTACTCCAAGAGAGAAAAGGAGATTTTGCAAGATAAGTGGCATGGCACTGCCATGTCTCTCAACCCCTCTGGTGGGAGAAAGCAACCAGAGTGTGTGAGTGAGCTTTGTGGAGAGCTTGGTGGGAGGTGATGCTGTACTGTCTAACAGGAGTTGCAGTGTAGTTCAGATGGTAGGCGAAGGAACATGTTAGGAAAATAATTTCAAACAAATCCATGCACTTATTTGCTAAAATACAGGAAATTGTGTTTGTACAGTGCTTTCAGTGTCATTGTAGTTCTCTGTTCAGGTGCTGTTTTATTCTTACCTTATTATTTAAATTTTGAGTGTTATTGTTTTTTTGTTTTTTTGCCTCCAGTCATTTTGTGACTGGTTTTGTTTTGACAAATAGTTCAGCAAGCATCCTTAAAAAAACTGAAATTATAATTTTGTTGTTATACGATATGTTCATATTATTCTAAAGCAATCTTTATCAGCATGCAGAAGTGTGTAACTTCAGTCACACTGTTGCTATGATAGTGCTAAAGAAAACTCTTTATATCCAGCATATCTGTCACATTATTAAGCCTCTCAGATTCAATGCAAACATTTAAGTTACTAAAAAAAAGTTACAAGTGGCTCCACCCTCTAACATTTAAAAGTCAAACAGATGAAATGTGGTTTGTTTTAGTGTGGTCAGGGTGAGAGATCCACCTGCCGCACTGACTCAGCCTGCTGATGGCCAGATAGAGGAAGGGATGGAGGAGGAAGTGGTGTGTGGGAGTATGAGAGGGGCACAGCAGGCCTGCTGCTCTCAGGGCTGAAGAGCCTGGGAGCAGCACAGCCTCCAAACAGAACCAGCTCTGTTTTCAGGAGGACTAGGAGCGCAAGTGAACATGACTGTGCCCCCTTGCATTTCCAGTCTGAGGAGTTTCAGAGAGAGAGAAGTGCCTACTAGTGAGTCATTCTGCCAGAAATAACCCCGCAACCAGCAGCAGCCACCTTTGAAACAGAGGAGGCTGGTGGAGAATACACAGTGTGTGTTGACACTCATAAACACTGAAAGGATGTCAGTGTTCAATAGCCTTTTTTGGACTTCAAGACGACTGTGTTTGGCTGTCATGGCCGACCGGTAAATGGTCATGAAGTAGCTCTGGCATAATAAGCGTTATTGTATTTCTCTCTTTTTCTGTCATTATTTCTGTTGAATCCTAACAAAGGAAGCTATCGACCAGATTGTTGCAGAGTAAAATGAATCGTCTTCAGTAAGATTTTGACTACATCTTAGTTGGATGCTGCACCTTGGACGACTCAGCACATGCTTGAGTATTAAATATCAGCTTTATCCTCCATCTTCAGACACCCTAAACTCCTTTTATAACACAAAAAAACATGCTCATGTTCATCACATAATCGAACATAACTCAAAACGATGTTGTATGACATTATTCAATTCTAGTAAGCAGGACCACAGTAAGAGTCAAGGGGATTTCTATGGAAATGATGTTACAGCTGCCTGAGGTAGCAGAGCCTGAACATCAACCAGGCACAGTGAGAAACTAAACCAGGGCCCCAAACTCCCAGATTAACGCTCATTCGTTTTATTGGTACTTTGATTCCTTGCAAATTTGTGATTTTGCACTGCTACATGCAATAACAATTGGGTCCTGCATTATGTACTCTTTTGGCCTTATTTTGTAAAGGAGCTGTGTGTCAACATCCAGTTTTAAATTCTTAATTTATATTGTGCTAACATGGTGTGTAAACCTAAATAAAATGGTGTTTAATCAAATAGATGTACAATAAACTAAATGACAAAGAGAAAACATGGGATCAGGTGATAGTCCAGAACAGGTGTACTGGTCGGCTGCTCTACAGTGAGCTGTGTGCACTGTCCTTTAGGGGAACTTGGAGGCAACATGGCTAATGTCACGCCCAAAATTAGTTAGTTAAACATTTGGTAGCGTAGCAGAAGACGCAATGATAGACATTATGTCAGATAGTGTCCCAAAGTTTTAGTACAAACAGGAGGTTCTTATGTGAAGTTTGAGCCCAACCTGATTAGTTATTTGGCCTGATATCTGAGCAGGACCTGTTATAGTAAACCCAGTAACGTGTAAAGGATATAGCCCCGCCAGGAATCGTGTTCCCTGTTTCCACTCTGGCTACAGTCTCCACTCCCTGTTTACGCCCATCTAGGCTTGGAGCAATACGTCTGTTTGTTTGTGTCTCTCTGTGGAAAGAGAAGAGGAGGGGGCCAGTCTGAGATGAGACCCATTTATCTTAGCCCAAATCATATCCATATCCTCATATTATTCAAAAACTAAACCTGGCTTTTTCTCTTCTGTCCTCCAGTGACAAAAAAAGCAAATGAGGTCATGCATGTTCTTCCTTTGTTTGCAAGGCCTGATTTAAGCGGAACAAAGGGTTTCAAGCAAACCTCATACGTTGTTCTGCAGTACACCTTCAGGCTGAGCAACCACTGCTAATTCTCTAAACTGAACCACACTCGCTATCCTACTGGGCATGTAAGAGAAGTGGGGCTATAATATCATCAGAGCAGGTCACCCGAGAGTCCTTCAAATTACAACCAGTTCTACTCGCCAATCCTGACGGTAGAGTACATATCTCTGACTTAAACTGAGTTGTAAATGTGGACATGGGGCCCCCTGTGCTCTAGCTGTGGGGTTGGACGGAGGGCGAGCCGCGAGGGCGTCTGCTGTGTTCCGGTGTTCTGGGAAAAGGACAGTGCACACAGCTGCGCTCAGGGGGTAAATGCAAAACAAACATGCCTCACACATGCTTCCCCCTCAGCTGTCATGGCTCTGCTTTCAAAGATTCTCCCCCCTCCTCAATACACACATACACATTGCTCTGTGCCTCTCCCGTCCACTGGCTCAAAGCTGCAGCCCCCCCCTTATTCGCAGGGTCCGAGGCACAGCCGCACGTTCAGCCCAGGAAGGCCTTTTAATTAACACTGAGCCATGTGGAGGCTGTGGACTGCAGTATTGTGTGTCAGGACAGACGGGACCGTCTGTCTTCTAGTTTAATGTAGACTGTTCCTCTGCACAGTGCGCACACATACTGGCATTAAGTAGCTCAGGTTTACACAATACATACTCACTATTCTGTGTCATTAAGCTGCAATATTCTTAGACTGAATCTCCAGTGACATCTTCCTCCAATAGGAGCTGCAGATGCTCTCAATCAACTTGTCCTACAATCACACAAGGACAGCTAATGCAAGATTACATTCAAAAAAAGTAACTCCTCCTCTAAGCTGCATAACTCCGTCCCTGAGTGAGAAAGTCATTTCCTTTCTCATTTTCTAATACTACTGAAGACAGGCAATCAGTATAGGAGTAAACATATGATAAATATGCGTGCTGTTGTGTGCATGTACATTTTCGTGCATGCAAAATGGATTGACGTGTTAAAAGACTCTTGGAAACGTTACTAATTTGATGTTTTGTTATATTTTGTGGTAAAATTGCATTTCCAGAGATGTGTTTGAATTGTTTTTTCCTCTCGATATGTAATTCCTCTGAATTTCAAGTTGGGTTTTTTTTTCAAGTTTTTGTGGCTTTAAGCCGTCTTTTGAAAGAAGTGTATGAATTTACTCATGCTTGTTACATTTTGTGTGTAATTAAAGTACAATAAGTTATTGCACTTCTATTCAGAATTTGTATTTGTCATTTAAAGGTAGTACATCCATGACGAGGTTAAAAACAGCAAAACACAGTAGACCGCTTCAGTTGTAAACGTTTCAAACTAATCAGTTTATTTCCGGTTTTGCGGTGTGAGAATGACACAAGCAGACAGGAAGTAAACATGGACCCAAGCTGCTGCCTAGCAATGTAATTATGTTTAAATGGTCTATAGAAGGTAGAAGGTAATGGTGGTTCCCTCTAGCTGTTAACACAGATAACTATTCTCCTTTTAGTAGAGATCTCTCAAATCACTCCCAGTCTAAAGAAAAGCCTTTCAAGTCGTCAGCTAAATAAACTGGTCGGCCACAACTTGAATCTGCAGCATGTTATTGCATTGCAGCACCTTGCCAACATATTGTGTCACCATTTAGTCCCATTCTCAAATCCACACACATTTCTGTCCCTTTGAAGAGACGAGTGCTGAAATGAGATCGCACAGCCCGCATGAGTTTCGCACTAATTGAAGTTGACAATAATACAAACTGCGCCCTTCTGAACTGCTGACATTGAACAGGGTGGATTAGGCCGCGTATATTAACAACAGGTGACGGGCTGGAGTGGCGCAGAGCATCGTATGTGACACGGAAGGTCTGCGTCAGACGGTCACAGATTGGAGTAAAGAAAAAGTTAAAAAAAAAAAAAAAAAAAAGTCTTTTTTCTTCTTCTTCTTCCCACCACTCTCTCTCTCTCTCACACTCACACACACACACACACACACACACACAGAAAAAGGAACATTAATATTTTGAGACATATTAGTGTTGTCTTTACTTATCGTGTATTAAAAAGTCATATGTACACTCGGATACATAAAAGCAGTCAAAAAATTTTTAAATAATTTCACTGACCTTATGAAAATAATAATAAAAAAGGCAAATAAAACCATCACTGGGCAAGGTTAACATCTTAAAGATGGCATTGCTTTCAATGTTATAGCCAAAATACTAGAGCTGGGACAAATTTTGATAAAAGACAAAAATATACACACACAACAGGAATAATGGAAAATGAAAAACAATGCATTGCAGTTTATACAAATTGTTTTGAAAAGTGTGGATTTGGGAATCGTCTAATATTATACAGTACATTTCTTTGAATGCATGGCAAACAAATAGTTACTCCTATGCTTATGCAGTGTTCACACACACAACTCAGCTCATGAAATGACGTAGTAGCTGCTTAAATTAGCAGCGCTGCTTTTGTTATACATAAACATAACAAAAAGCTTGCTCAGGCCGTATGAAATGACAATTCAAGATGTTCAGCAGTCTTTTTAAAGTCATTAGTTAATCTTTCTAAATTTTAAATTCATGGTACCAGCTTCGCAATCTGATTAAAGCAGAACGTATGTGAAACATTTACTGTACATCATCTTGGTTTGTATACTGTTTGTTATCACACTCAATTAACCGATCGATAAAGCCTACACAGATACGTCATCCAAGCATATATACGTCATGTAAATGAAACATGTTTTACTTTTAATACAGGACAAATAATCAGGTCCATGTCATCTTTTGAAAAAATAAAAATAAAAAATAATAATTCCTGGTTGGAGCATCATACATTATGACTATTATACAGCACTGCTGCGAAATACAAATATATACACTGTATACACTGACTCCAGAGCAGCTGGAGCTCAAAGCTTCCAGCTCCAAACAGTAACAGTGAGAAACCACAAGCCTTCAGTCAGCCAGCCAGCCTGTCCATCACACATCCACTCAGGGTGACCCTCCAATAACAGATCATGTAACAGTGTGTGCATTCATATCGGTAAATGTTTGAGAATATCTTTCACTTTCAGCCAAATAAACAAGTCATCATCCTCATCACATGGAAAAGGTGAGAGGCGCCGCATGTGCCGCTTTAGCCCGAATATTGATGTCTTGATATAAAAGACGATGTTGGTGACGGAGGCTACGACGGACCGGTCAGAGGCTGCCGATGTTGGGGAAGCTCTTGAGCTTCTCTGGGAAATCGTCTTTGTAGAGCACAGGGTCCGCACGGTGTTCCACCACCTTCAGAGGCATCGTGCCAAACACCGATGCAAACTTGTTGATGCACTCAGATCTAGGGACGAAAACAACTTATTTACTTTAAAAACAGGCTAAAACACTTTTGCAGCTTCTGATTAGTAACGTTTGCAATTGATGTAGATGGATGAGGTCTTTACTTGGCTTTCCTTTAAGCTATTGTAAGGTGCCCATCTTCCTCAAATACTTTCTTTCCTGCATTTCACATAAGGTAATACTTAAATGTCCTGGCATGTAGAGGATATATTTTGCCTATATTTGATGTCACTGTGACCTGCAGCGACCAGACTCTGTTGACTGCAGTTTACTGTAAACAAGGATCTCTTGCAATGAGCAGAAATACATCTGGTAATAGGAAGTGAATAGAAAACTGGGGAGAAAATGTCCAACAACAATTTTTCGCTCACTTTTTGTAACCAAATTCGAATATGCATTTTAATATTCAGAACAAAGCAAAAAGAAGGATGAAAACCAAAGACAAACAGCTATAATAACTAGTTATGCACAAGACCAAGCCAAAGTAATGTGGTGTGTGCAACGCACGCAAAACTGCTTTAGTTACAGAGATAAACAGAGGAACAAGAGAGTTCCAGTTGAAGTTTCTACACACACACAAAATAAAAATAAATAAACAGATTCTACTTCTGCTCATTTCATTCCCGATTTTTCCAAAACAAAGTGTCATACCTCTCCACCATGTGCGTCTGATCCAGGGACAGTCCATCAATGGCAGTACACTCAGGGCACTTGAACTTCTTCCTGGGGGTCACCTGAACAGAAGTCACACCAGTAATGTCAGCTCACTACAACTGTTGGTTAAACCTGAGCAGCCCAGACGGACGCTAATAAAACTGTCTGGTCTGAAGAAATAAGTCTATGACATCCTACAAGAACTTTTGTTGAGCAAAAAAAAAAAAAAAAAAGTCATCTCATCAGTGGAGTTGGAGAGATATATGGAGTATGGCTTTCCTCTGTCTAACCCCCATCTAACATTTACACCCCCAACACTCTGAACCTGTGAATGTGTGTGTGTGTGTGTGTGTGCAGAAGAAAAGTGAGCGACACCGAGAGAGGAAGACAGGAGGGGTCGGTTGGAGAGGGTGGGTGTTTTCTGAAGGAACCTGATATATGGGAGATACGGTGGGAGAGCGGCTGCAGGCGTAGGGAAGTTTGCAGCTTGTGATTTGATGGCAGGGTGTGCGTGAGCCCCGGTGAGCTTAGGATAACATACTCAGAGGGGGAGTGCCAGTGAGTGACACGCAGATAAGGGAAGGTTAAGGCTGGGCTTAAGCTCGGGCCCCCTGCACCTGGGCACAGTCAGAGTGATGGGAAAGGGGGGGGGGGGTGAAGTCGAAGGGGTGAGAACTGATCAAACCCAGAGATGCTGGTCTGCTCCGTCAGAGATATGGACGCACCTTTATGGGGGCTTTGCCCGTGATGTTAGCCACCAGGAAGTTCATGGCAATATCTTCACAGTTCATGTGAGCGTCCACCCAGTTCTTGATGTCTCCAGGCATCTTGTAGGTGTACAAATAGTTGAAGTACTGGAATGGAAACAACAAATGATTACGAGGTGTCATATATAGATATACTGCATTATGTACAACAATGCAGACACTGTTTGAATGGTGACCCAAGTATGTAGGAGGCACCACTGCACCAGGACTTGCTTTGAACTTAAGTAAGTTTTAAGTAGAAGTGAGATAACCTTGCTCTACCTATGACACGCTGCTCGTCTATCACTGTAATCTTCTTCCCTGAAATACTCCACATACCCATAACAGAGGTCTACCGGGAATTCTCAAATCCTTTCTGCAAACGGAATTTTTTTAAATCCGATATCCAGATGTGATGGACATTTTCCTTTTCAAAATTGGTGCTGTGTGCATCATTACTAAGCAAAAGTCCAAGCATACCCCAGCAGCAGCAAGGGAAACGAGCGTGGAAGGAGCGTAGCTCAAGCAGACAAAACCTCTTAATCTTTTTCCCATGTCACCTTGTGGTAGAAGGCGGCTCCAGTTAGGACCATGGAGACCTCGTTGGTCCACTCCGATTCATATTTCCACTTCCCCATTTCGTGGTCCCAAAGGTGCAGCCGGCCTGGGTAGCCCACCAGCCGGTCTGGGAACTCCCTCCACACCTGGAGCAGGACAGGAAACAGATTGTCCTTCATTTTCACGTGAATTGAACTAAAGGCGATAAAATGATGTCTCACACTAAAACACGAATGATTAAGGGGTGTTTCAAAGATTGTAGTTTGAGATATTTTTAGATAGAAATAGCTTTTTGATTGGCTGAATATCTCAGGCTTTGACACCAGCAGACAGACAGCTCCCCTATCCGGCCTACAATTCCATGTAATTATCCTTAAACTGAGCACAATTTTATTAAACGGCTTCTAAATGGATTCAGGTGAGTGTGCCTGGCTAAGTGGGGCCCGACAGGTATGTGGGCATGGAAAGCATCAGTTCTAGACCCGTCGTCATTCCTCACACATCAAACACGTTCAGCAGGCAGTCAAATCCCCAACGAGAGCAGAATGAGACCGTAATCCTCCTGAATGACTTTAAACTCTGGGATCAATTTCAACGGCGTCCCTGCAGTACGTGCCGTCAGAGGAAAGATAGGAAAGCATGGTCAAGGCTAAGTTTTCTTTTTCTCACCTCGTAGCCAAACTGCAGTTCATCAGATGTCAGCATGATGATGTCGTCGTCGATCGCTAGCACAGCTTCTGTCTCGATCTCGTCGTACGGGAAGAAGCGGTTACTCAGCTTGTTCTCTTTTGTTCGCACCACTTTGAGAGGAACGCCGATCTTTGGCCAAAGAGACTCTGGAAGGAGGAAAACAATACAATAATAGCAACCGCATTTATAGTTGTTTACACGATACAGAGCTGAATCGGTTAAAGTAGCAATCCGTACGATTTCAGTCCTGACCCTATTAACTGGTAGTAACAGCAGATGCGGTTTAATGCTACAGGTCCAAGAATACCGGCGGGAGCAAGACTAACTATTGTCATTTTAATAAAGAAGTCAGGTAAAAATTGGCTTTTTTCCATCATCCTGTGAGCAACCGATTCGATCTGGTTTCATGCTGCACACTGCATGAGTCCGCCAACACAAAAATTGAAAGTAAAACTGATCCGCCGTCAAAAAATGCCGGAAATGAACGTTGTGTTGTAGATGCATCTATAATGAACGATAGTGGTCAGTGTCAACCTCACTGACAAATGCGTTGCACTTCCTGTGATTACTTCATTATACAAGTCAGTAACTTAATATTGCATTTATTTCTGGGTATTTCAACTGTGTACGGCCAGTTTATAATACTGCAAATATATAAATATTGCAACACTTTCATCAGTGGGCCGTAGGCCAAGTCACCATTTACTGATGTGCTGCTTATATTGCTGTTAGTTTAACATCTTTGGATTTTGTAGTTTTTGGTAGATGTAGAACAGTGATGGGCATTTTACACCATTCTCTGACATTTCATTAACCAAGCAATTAATCAACTAATTGAGAAAATGATCTCCAAAATAATTCTTTGAAAACGTTCGTTAGTTGCCGCCCTACATAGGTAAATACTGTATAGACAGTATGTCACACTGTAATGCCTTTTTAAAGGCTGAACAACATCTAGAAATATGAACACTATCAGTGTCTAAAGTTGATATTATTTACCACTGAAAGAGTTATTTGAAGCACGTCCTGCCAGCGGAAAACGGTGCTCTGAGAGTTTAACTTCACTGACTCATATAGCTAAGCTAACCTCAAGCATGTGCAAATCTAACCACACTATGATACAAAGTGTTTTGTCAGGGGAGCCTTTCAAACGTCTTGGGCAGTGTCCATGGCACGGACTGTGGCACAGACGGATCACACAGAATGTGTCCCCTCATTAATGGTGGAACTGGGACCTGGCAGCCTATAAGAAGAGCTTCAGGTCCTGCTAACCACGTCTGAGGTCTCCTGTCAAAAGCTATTCTCGGTAAAATTGCTACGTTAAATGCCCAGAATTGCTTCTCTCACTCTGCCCGTGTTGCCGTCATCCCTTCTTTTATTTCTTAGGTTGGAAAGTGACAGCAGGAATGAGGCTATTATGTGAAGTGTAAAACTTTAGTGCTACCTCGGCATGGGTCAAAATGCAGATACTGTTAATTCCTAAACGATATTCAAGAAGCAACAAAACAAAATGCAACAATAATGCTATATTGTGTAAAAAAAAAGAGAAAAACAACCCCATTACTTTACTTGGTCAGCATTTTCTTAAAAACAGGAAAAGATGGCAGCCTGTAAACACACCAGATCAAGGCACGGTGCTGATGGGGAACTGTGCCTTCATATTGGACTGAGCCCTCTGAGCCTGACCCGGCAATAGCCTCTAGTTAATTCTAATAGGTCACAAAGCTCCAGCCAGGCGCCGCTGATGCCTCTCATGAAAAGGCAACTCACAGCCACGAGGGAGCACTTTCAAAGTGGTCTCATTGCTTCATTACATTTGCCAACTCTATACAGCAGCAGGACTGATTTAATTCCAGGTCCCGCACAGTCTGAGTGAAGCAGTCAACGCGCTAAGGCACGATTAACTGGTGTGTACTTAATTGCCATATTAAGGCAAATAATTTGAGCACACGGAGTAATAAATAACAACTAACAACAGCTATGATGGACTACGACTGATGATGGACAGTAATGAAAGACAGAAACCTAAACTGAGTGCAGAGACAAACTATATCTTTTGGAAAGCTTCATGAAGTGTCTTAGCTTTAATGAGAATGTGTTCCACTCACCCTCAGGAGGACTCTTGTTCTGGTTATTCCACACCACCAGCAGCTTAGCCAAGCTAGGCACCTTAGAGATTTCTGTGATGACCCGGAAAAGAGACTCGACGCGATCGTAGGTCAGCACCACTGCAGTGAACCCAGGGGCTCTGGGTGGGATAAGTGGCAAGAACAGAGGGCTGTTCACACTGGACCACTTCTGCACAAGATAGGAAACAAAAGAAAAACACACACACACACACTGTTTAGGCCACAAACATCTTGTTCTTTCATTCTGTTTCACTTCCATGGAAAGCTAGTGCAGCGCTATAGCCTCCTGTCCTCTGTGTTAACCCCATCTGTCATGTTTTCCATGATTTTATGCTCTATAATACTGCTTCACTGGACCGTGAGGTCACAGGCAGTAATTTCCAGATTATGGTTTTTATTATGGAGCGAGACTCATCCGATAATGTCTCTCAGGGGCTAACAGAGGCAAAGCACAGGAAGCCAAAAGCTTCCAGTCACAATGCCAAGTAAGGAAGCCACAGGTGAGTTTCACTGATGGCATGTGTCCTAAATACTTAAGTTCAAAACGTTAGTCATTTGGATAACAGTGACAACACATCCGGCACAACTACTGCTTTTGTTTATAAAAGAATGTTTTCTCAAGTGAAATAAAAAGACAAACTTTCATTTACAAGCTTGTGCGACTCAAACACAGACACACATCGGAGCTCCAGGGTTCACTCTTGATGAACTTTATCAAAGGCTCCAAAAATGTTCCACTCTGGTTACAGTGACAATCAGCCTGAGAAGGGCAATGGGAGCATATCTAACACAGTCAATCTGTGGGCTTCTTGAAGCCCACATAAACCCCGTTTCACAGTGATCATGTGGCTCCTCCCACAGCGGCAACACAAGTCTGTCAACAGAGACACGGCCATTGCCTTTTAGAATACATCAGTGACTCCCGTCACCAATAAAACATCACTTTACTGGCAAGTGGAAACTTCCTTGTGGTCATTCTCACGTTGTCAAACAAGCCGAGGGGGAAATAATTAAACTAACACTTGTACCCAGCAAAGATGCATTTAAACAGAATAAAGAGGTTAGAGACCACTGAAGTCATTTGTCAAACTGAATAAATTAGATGAAAAGAAAGCCGCAGTTCATTACGTCAGACAGATCTGAAGGAGCAAATGTGTTTTTGGACTTTAAACTGACACTAAAAAAATAAAAGAGGAGTTTTATTTGGTTATTTGAACTACTCGAGTGGTTCTTTGTTATTTTAGGGGTTTTTAGATTATGAGCAAGATCAAATGAAAATCTGCAAAGTGCCTTTATCCGTCTGTCCGTAGAAACACTTCCACTGAAACGCAAATACAGTTTCACATTCAACTTTACCACATTCGCAAATAGAAGTATTACTAATGTACAGAGATGTTAGACTAAATCTGATTTTTCAAATCGTTTCTGAACGACGCAAACAAAGTTGAAACCTAAGATACAGTATCATCTCCACCAGCACTAGGACAGTGATGTGTGTTTTTATTATCTTGGCTCTATTTCAGCAAACTGGTTTTCAAAAGAAAATAACTCTGAGGTTAAAACTGCTGAGTTTCAGTTTTAAAAGGTATTTAAAGTATTCCCATTCCCACATAAACATGTGATTGGTCGACGCTTAACTGCGTCATTGGAGTGCTTAAAAAAAGATGAGACCAGCTCAACTTTGATTTGTAGCGCATCACGCCCATCATGCAGCAGCAAGTGTAAGGCGTCAGTTTGTAGCTTCCATTGAAAACTACTTGTAGCCTCGTAGTGTGAACATAGCATACTACATTTTATAGTGCATGGTACTCAGACTATGCTGGAACTTTTAAACACGATGGTGATCAAATAAGACCCAGGTGTAATCACAACAACATCTTTTTTTTTTAACTCTGAGATGCTTGTAGAAACCTAACAAGCCCACTACATACAACTCCAAAACAAAAAGCAGCCTATCCTTTATTCTGAACCCCCACCCCCCGCCCCTCCAAAAGGCACCAGCAATCCTGGGAAATGTGCTTTCAATTACCAGCCTAAAGACTACAGGAGGGAAAAATGTCTGCCTGATTTATTTAGTGCTCAGCGCAAGTTCTTCTCACCATCCACTCACTGAATCCATCGAGAAAACACCTCATCTCCTATCTCAGGCTGGAATGGCCAAAGGTCTGCACCCTGACACAAATAACCTCCTCTGGGTCTCGACAAACCTCGAGACCCGAGTGATACTGATGGATTCGACACTTTGCCAAAACATTTTGCCATAAGTGGGCGATGTCAGGTGTAATTGCTGATTAATTAACAAACTACAAAGTAACAAAACTTGCTCAGAGGAAAACAGGCAACCAATGTCAGCTTGACTGCCAGCCTATTACTCCGGAACGACAAACATCAATGAACAGCCCTCAACGCAACCTGATTGCAACTGCCATCGCTCTAAACTTAGCATTGCAGTGGATCTACTTATACTGGGATACTTGTAGACATTTGACAGATGCAAAGACACCATTGTGCATCCACACACATGCTCACATGGCCACGCCTCTACCCCACAGACTCTAGATCAGACCGTACTGATTAACAACTCCTGAGAGATGGTCGCCCAGCCAAGCTGTCTGCAGCCACAAACTCCCACAACCACAGGGATACTACACACACACACACACACACACACACACACACACACACACCATACTCTCTACAAACGCATGACTCAGACACACAGGAACTTATTTTTCACCACAACGGAGGCATCCTCCTAGAGCAGAACTGCTGACACAAACTGGCTGCCTCAGAGCTAGCTGGGTGAACACCAAACTGTGAAGCGCAGCATGTGTGGCGCTTCAGAAAGACTGAAGGCATCTTCTGTCACTCTTCCACAGAGGCTTCGGTTTACAAGGCACAGGAGAGTGGGGAAGCTTGTGTGGCACTGTGAGCGTCTGTACGGTCAAAGCTCCATCCTGGATGGGTTTCACTCACATGTCTGCTAGGAATAGAGGGTGAGGATATAATAGTCTTGCTCCATGGCTTATGGTTATAAATACTTGCAAAAGGCACATGAACATCAGGTCCACACAGTTACATACCACCACGGGAGGATTGTTCCACTGCTCATAAGTTCGTGCAGCATAGGGGTAGATGCGGTCATTGATGATCTGGAGCGTTGTCAAGCCAATAGCCTTCATGGAGCTGAAGTAGGCTTCCCAGAACCAGCGGGCCTATGGACAAATGAAGTAGACGTTAGTACCCATAAAGAGAAAAATGTGCAGGATGAAAGAGCGACCACAAAACATGCGACGAGGCTCCATTTAAAATGTATTAAAGTATCTCTCTGTTCAACTCTCACAGAGATTCACTTCAGTGATCTAAAGAATGCAGAATTAAGATATTTGAATTGATTGATATAAAAACACACATATTTTGAAAATGGGCTGCATCCAGGAGAAAACTTAAGTTTTTATAGAATTAGTCACCATAATGGAAATGTCAACGAAAAAGTTATTATTTCTTAAGTTACATGATCAATTATTAGTAATAATAATGGTGGACTACAGTAATTGACCTTGAGGGCAGAATGAGTAAGATTTCTCCGTTTGTAAACACAACATTCAAAGTTGGGCGATGACACCAGAAGAACACTTGCAAGATTTATATATATATATATATATATATATACACACACATGTCCACCATTTTCGTAGCTTCCTCTTGGATGCGTGCTTATGATCTGGCACCTGGCCGGTACATGTTTTTATTAGAGGCTGACGCCCAGAAACGTCCCACAGACAGCAAAATAAGAAAATACAGGCAGAGGGCACGGCCTCTGCAGATACAGACACAAATGATTGAGAGATATTATTTTTTGTATTAGTCAAGTCTAAACACTTTCTTTTTAGGAAAACCCTACATTCTACCTTTAACTTGCATTAGATAGTATTTCATGAAACTGGTGATATGTTGTTAATACTTCAGCCACTCATTTTATGCTGTGGAGTACAGTCTCTACATGTCAGAAGATAACACCGGTGTGAAGTCAGAGCTGTAAAATCCAGATTCCCCCCCCGGTCCAAGTCTTTAAAGACAGTGTTGTGGCCCTCTCCAGCCTCCTGACCTCCAACAGCTCTCCCTCTGAAGCTCTCTAACAACTCTTTGGACTGTGCCTGTTTGGTTTCAGCAGTTCTCTGATGTGAAAAGCAGACTTTAATGATAACTGAACTCTTAACCCATACCGTAACGTTATCACATTGGCCACTGGAATACTCAACTCCAAGCGCCCTCACTCAAGGTTCACTTTATAGTTTATTCAGACTGCAAAGATAAAAGAATAATACCTGGATATTGAATTTGTTTATTCAGAATATTTTTATGACTGTGTCAAAGAGAAATCAATGGCAATGCCATAGGGTTCATGAAGTCTTTCACTTTTTATACCATAAAACAAATCAATTTTAGAGTAGTGCTACTGACCATGACATACGCGTCTAGCCCCCGTGCCTCCTGCTATAGTTAGAAACTTCAAGGGACAGCTCAGAGCCCTATAAGAGTTAATGACGCTTCAAACAACACTGTCTCCTGCCATGAGGCCCCGCGTTACACTGACCTGACTCCACCCCACCAGCTCCTCAATGACCCACAGTTCTGGAGGAGAGGTTGTGAATATGTAAGTGTGTGTGTGTGTAAAGCACAATGAAACAGCATGTATTATTGTGCCCCAAAGACCATCCTTAGTGGCACATGAACATGTGACCGTTGCCTAAATCTCCCACGTCCAATTGTAAGAACTGGTGCTGGACAACAACACAAAAACAGCACTCATTTTTATAAGAAGAATTTCTCATCTCAGGGGAGAATCCCAACGACCCATAAATCAACCAGTGATGAAAGTTTCTTTCCCGACTGGGGGGGGGGGGGGGGGGGGG